TCTTCTTCTTCTTCTTCTTCTTCTTCTTCTTCTTCTTCTTCTTCTTCAGAAATCAGTTTAAGATTATAGCAAGCAGAGGACTACTGGGGCTCACCTTTTGGTCAAATGGCCACCAGGCTTCCATAGTTGCCCAACCTGGGTCTGCATCCCTCACCGTGCACTGAAGAGGGTTTCTTCTCCGTGTGTTGGAAAACACATTCCTTCCTTCCTACTATGGCATAAGCGTGCTGTGGCCCTAAGAGGAGGTGTGGCCGCAGGCAGTAGGTAGAGCCAAAGCTTGCCTTGTGGCAGCTGGAAAAGCCACATTTGCACGCTCTGCTCACCGAGAAGCACAGGGCTGGCTTTCACACTGCTAACAGCTGGGCTGTTCGGATCTCCTGGCAGCTTGTGTCAATGACACTTCCAAGTTAGAGATGAGATATTGTTATGAATTCCTCATCTTTCATAATTTCCTTTGCTATGTTTGGGTTGGGTTTTGTTTGATTTTTTCCCCCTACTTTGCTCTGCTCTTGTTCTCACTTATCTCAGAGGGCAGGAGAGTGGAGTGCTAGAAGTGACAGCTTTCTCAGCAGTGCAGTCACAAGGGTGGCAAAGCCTGGCTTCTCCAGGCAAGTGCATAACAACAACGTGATAGGCTCTTTTGAAACACTGATCTGAAGATGTCTGCATTGTACTTTAATTGCGTCAATGGCTCCCCAAAACACAAACTATTAAATACCAAAAAATTGCAACTGTAAAGACAAAACAAGACTTTCTACTTGCATAGGCTCCACTGGCAACCTTACACACACACACACACACACACACACACACACACACCTGGGCTCCCTGACATTCTGACATCAGGGATGCTTTCCTTACCTACACAGATAGCAACAGCTATGTAGGCAACAGTGGTGATGAAAATGGCCAGCATGGTTCCTCTGGGGATGGCATCCTGGGGATCCTGTGAAAAAATCATGCAGAGGGGAAAACAGAACTCAGTAACAGTCAGAGTGCGAGGAGCTATTGCTGTATTTTCATGATATTAAACCATGCTTCCTAAGGCGAGTTCTAAAGAAACTGTCTAGCAAATGGGGAGGTGAAGAGTCTTTGGACGGAGTATCTGGAGCAAACGATGGGCTATTAAACGTGGTACTGCGTATGAACTCTCGGCGCTTGCCCCAGTCTCTAGCAGATGGGGTCCCAGAGCAGAAGGGAAAAGTGGACACGTGCCTGTATTCTAACCCAGAAGCCATTTCCAATTGATAACTACCTGCGAATGAGAAATGAGCTTTCTCCAAGGGAGTCTCACTGGGGAAACAAACCACTCTTTTTTCCCCCTTACATCTTTGCTTCTTTTTCTTGTTTGGTTATTTTGCCCTTCATTTGTTTGCTTTTCTTTTATCTTATTGTATTATATGTCATTTTATTATTATATCTTAGATGCCTGTTTGTTTCCTAAGGAGAGACAGGCAGGGAGTGGATCTGGATGGGAAGGTGGGGAGGAACTGGGAGAAGTAGGGGGATAGAAAACTGTAATCAGAATACACTGCGTGAAAAAAAAATCTGTTTTCAATTTAAAAAAAAAAAGGAAAAGAGAAAAGTGGTTCTATTTTTAATAAACAAAATCCCAACCGTCAAAGAAATAAAAAACCAAAAAAAAGAGACTAAACAATGATGGAGGAGGGTTATCTGTCTATTGTGTTATTTTCATTGGTCAATAAAGAGACTGCCTTGGCCCTTTGATAGGACAGAAAATTAGGTAGGCGGAGTAAACAGAACAGAATGCTGGGAAGAGGGCAATGAGGCAGACGCCATGGAGCCAGCCACCAGGTCAGACATGCTGAATCTTTTCCGGTAAGCCACCACCTCATGGTGCTACACAGATTATTAGAAATGGGTTAATATCAAGATAGGAGAGTTAGTCAATAACTAACTCTCTAGAGATAATGGGCCAGGCAGTGCTTAAATGAATACAATTTATGTGTTGTTATTTCTGGGGCTAAGCTAGCTGGGCAGGAACCGGGCGGGATGAAAAGCAGGCCTGCCTGCAGCTCCCTTACTACAAAACAAGCCAAACCTCAGTGCTGAAGAGAGAAGTTACAGAAATGAACAGATAGTTCTCTCTCCATGTGAATTGTATGTAGAAGCATCAGATACAAACAAAGCTGTCATGTTGACAGTAACTGGGCATACGTATGTTTTATCCTGAGTTTAGGCTTGTTTTTAATTAAAACAAACAAAGAAAAACAAAACAAAAAACACCTATCTGACTGAGCAAAAAGGATCATCTACTAAATTCTCCAGTCTCTCTAAATTCTTCATTTCCTCAAGTAAGCTTGGTAAAGAGGTAAGGTCAGCCCTATACCAGAAAATGGGCTTTTCTCTTGCTTATGAATGTATGTGTACATACCGAACTGAGCCCAGCTGATACTTAGTTCATCATCTTACACCTGGTGGTTTTGGAAGAAACTGCTAAATTATACCAAACTGACTTCCAAGCAGCATATTGGATTATATTTAATTCAATTTAGGAAATTATTAAACAGATAATTTGAGGCATGCTTTTCTTATACAGTTATCTGGCATTCAGAAAGAGTCAATAAATACTGAACAGAGAAAAGTACAATTCCAGTAGGCAATGATCTCCCAGCTGGAGGACACAAGTCTCATCAATACACATAAGCAATCAATACAGGCAAATGAAGATTAAGGACTTGTTTTTTCTAAACTTAAACATGATGATCAAGTCCATTGAGAAGGTCACACTTGGTGGCTGCAGACACAACCCAACCTCTGGAAATCAGGACTTACCCAAGCCAACACGCCCCACCTGGGTGTAACCAGCTCTGTGCAGCCACTAATCCCTATGCTCCAATTCTTCCAGGAACATCTGCATATTGAGGTTTTGCTGGTACAGGTGTACCCAGTCTCTTCCTTCCATACTACTGATGCCGCAGCAAATGTACAGGTGTGTGCAATACAGCAGCTCTGGGGAGGGGGACCGGGGCAGTGTGGCTGAAATGGGCCCTTCTTAATCGAATTCATTGGTGGTTTACCTTTTAGCTTATTGCGGAAGAATTTATTGGGAACTGGGAGGTAGCTCAGGAAAGTGTCTGCTGCAAAAGCATGAGGGTCTGAGTTCAATTCATAGAATCTATGTTTAGAAAAGAAAAATGTGGGGCACACTTATAATCCTAGCACTGGGGAGGTGAGGCAGGTAGATGCCTGGAGTTCACTGGGTAGCCATTCTGTCCTCATTGATGACCCCAGTTTTCAGTGAGATACTTACCAAACCAAACCAAACTAAGTGTCCCGAGGAATGACCTGATATTGAACTCTGGCCTTCAGACACGCACACACACACACACACACACACACACACACACACCTCCCAAGGTGAACACAAGCAGGTCCACACCGTCACAAAAATTTCATGGGGTCTGGCTTAAAGTTGTAACCATCATAACTGGAGCGTGACTGAATAGGAGGCAGAAGGTAGAAGGCAGCCTGTGTCACAGACATGAAGACAGCACTCCCCTGCAGCTGCCCACTGTAAGCTCTTAAGCTGCTGAGGCCACGTGACATGAGGGTCAACTTAGCGCTAAGGCACTAAAGGGTAGCATATGACGTCAGTGTATTGATGTATGATCCTGTACCAAGAGGGAATTATTCAGTCCTGCTACCGACAGAGGGAGCTCGGCAATTTGGCACATTCTTAAATTTCCCCCCTCCTCCAGAATTAACCCCAAATCTAAGCTGTTTCTCCTTCCTGTCAGTAAAAGTGAGCCCCTAGCCAGGACAGAATATAAGTAATCAATTAGGTTTCCACTTTTTTGGGGTCTAACAACCACTTCCTAATTTTGCATCTCAGAAATATTTCTCAAATCTCCTTCCAGATCCCGATTTTCAGGACAGTTCTTGCCACACTATTGCTGTTCCACACAGAACGCGCAGGATGGGATCTGCATCCGTTATGCCCTACTGATCATTCTTCCCTGCAGTGCGGGGGCCATCCTGAGAAGGATGCTGAGGCTGGAAGCCGGGTACTCATCTGCCTCTCCCTATATTCTATAAACAACGCCTCCTAAATCAAAATGACTCGATTATGATTAATACTATTATAATTATCTTGGGTTTCATCCTCAGAGAGAAATAAAGTTAAGGATACAGAAATTTCCTTGCCATTTTCCAGAATATTTCACCTTTGGGAGCTAACATGTCTGACCACTCTGGCTTTTAACTATGTTCTGATGTCCTAGACAATTTCTCTTTTCGCTTCCCTTTTTCCTGGGCCTAAGGGCTGTTGGTTTCCCCATCCACTAAGCAGTTTCTCTGTCTCCCTGTCTCTGTCTCTATGTCTCTGTCTCTCTCTCTCTTTCTCCTTCCTCCCCCCTTTTCTACAATAATGATCTGGGTGCCCATAATCCCTTGCGTGCTTCCTTAGCTTCCTTGCCTCCCTCTTGCACCTACGTGGGTGAGTTCGCCCATGCAGTCCCGTCTTCCTTCCTAGAGCTGCAGACTCCCTCTGCCTCCCAGACACTTGCGATGTCCTACTTCTGTTTCAATCCCATTAGCTAAGCCTGAGCCTCCTCTTCCTCATCTACTATGCCATGAAATCAATTCAGTGAGGCGAAACCAGTGTTAAAGAACGGAATCGGATAGAATTGATGTAGAAACATCAAAAGGCATTGCTTGCATTTAGCTGTGACCTATTATGCTTCCTTACTGTGGTTTAGTGAGAGAATTCTTTCTATTGCTTCTAGTTCTAACAAAAGCACAGCTTTAACCTCTGTCTCCTGCAAGGCCTTCGTTCAGACATTAAGTAAGAGGAATTGACTAAGCACCTTGTTTTTAAGGAGTCTAAAAAAAGCACAGTATTTTCCAATTTAAAAACCTGCCTGTAGCTTCCGGAAGCTTAAATCAGTGACCTCTGATATTTTCCTAGTTAGTGATAAAACAGGAGTTCGTAACGAGATCTCATTCAGCGAGGAAAGGAGCTGAAGCAGCCGGCACAGGCGTGTGACCTTTTGAGCTTTGGCGTGACCTTTCCCTGCTGTTGTCTGCTCAAGAATTTACCTTGGCAGTGTGGTCACTAGTGTAACAAATCTAAGCACTCAGCTCAGTCAGTGTCTATTCCGACCACGCTTTCTCTGAAGATCTTTGACCAACGCATAAGCCCAAGGCCAAGTTGCCACGTCCTCGGAGTCTGACGCCCCGCGGTGAGCATCTGCAGCCACTTCCTTTCCTGTGAACCTTGTGAAGCTCTCCAGCCTCCTCCGTTTTCTCTGCTTAACCTGTAAGGGACTCCCTGCTGTCCTCAGGTTTCTCATGCCAGACTCTGCTTGCTTCCTTGGCCAGACTTGCCTTGTTCCTCTCCAATAGCCAACTTCTAGCCTTTGCTTCCCAAGTTAACTCCGATCAACCCGACAACTATCTGTTTAGTATTTTTATTTCCCCACCCGTCAATCCCTGCATGTTTTTCATTTAATACTTATCTCCTGAAGAGTCTTGCAAATACTCACCTTCTGACGTTGATTATGAATACATTGAGATAAGATTTGCATCTTCTTTTTGTGTATGTGAGGTAAAACCGTTGTCTGTCTTATGAAAAAGACTTCTACTGTCTTCTAACCCTTCTTGTCCTATTGGGATGCCTCAGCCTTTATTGGGGTATATGGCTGCCCTACTTCAGAAAGCGTTTCATAGAGTCCTTTGAAGTTAGGTAAGGACATGAGCCAAAATCCAGACCAATGGGATGTCAACAGAAAGAGGTAGAGCATGAATCAGGAAGTGATTAATCTCCCAGGACCTTGAAGAGAGAGATGAGCCCCAAGGTAGAGGTGAAAGAGGCAAGGTTTCTCTGAGTCCCTGGGTTGCCTTTGGAAGTGGCTGTCCTAATTTTGTTGGATGGCCTATGAGCTCCAATATGCACGTTCCAGAAGTACAAAGTCTGATCTTGTTTTGGCCATGGCTAGTAGGTGGTCCTCCTCAAAATACTGAAATCACATCCGTAGTTAAGTCAATGATCCCTATGGCAGTTGATGGAGAATGCTGTGAACGGAGGACGAAGTGGTCATGTGACTGTTTGCTATTGGTTTGGTTTTGTTTTTCCGCAAATGTCTTGTATTCTTAGTCACTATGATTTTTAAAGGGAAAGGGTGATTCTGAAAGTAAAGTCACATCCATTTTATTGAAAAAAAGTTCCCATGAGTATACTCTGCCTTTGGATGTCACTGAATATGGGATTTGGAATTAGACTATATTGTCAAGAGCTTAGATTTAAAATTAAAGGGGAAAGAGAGAGAAAAAGAGACAGATGGATAGATAGATAGATAGATAGATAGATAGATAGATAGATAGATAGAT